ATCTCAGGTGTTTTTATTTTCTGGTAATATTTCAAATCAATTCTATACATGGATATTTTTATACTTGCCATACTAAACTGTATCATCATCTTTTGCAGAGTATCAGTGTCTCCTTCCCATTGATGGTTGATCAACTTGAATGTGCTATTCAGAAACACAAGTGAGCTTGCAGTGTCTTTTGACCTGTCCATTGTTTTACTTTCACTTTTTAAACTGAAGTGCATCACTTGATATATTTGTGGGAGGAGTTAGAAAAAGTTTCAAGGACTTGGTATGCATGCTACAAGTCCAGGCTGTTGCAGAATATGAAAATGAGGCTAATAATCTGAGTGTTTGAGAAAAGTGTTTTTCAAATACTGTTGTCACTGCAACATTATTTCTTTAGAAAAAAAAAGTACTTATTCCCAAATTTGTGTACATATTATTTGGTAATATTATGTTGGTTCTGCTTCTACTAGAAATAAAAGTTCTGTCATGATTTTATTGTATTAAGCAATGTTTTGATGTTTAGTTATCAAGTTGAAGGAAAGAATTTTTGGAATGAACTGGTCCTTAAAACTTGTATACTAGAATTTCGGGGATGCTGCATGATCCAGTGGCTTGTTTTCTGCTAATATCATATTATGATCTCTTTGGGCGGTCTGATTTATTGTACCTTTTCCCTTTTGATCTTGGGGGAAAGGAAAACAATTTGGGCCTAAGCATGCAACAAACTGGATAACAAAAAACAAAAACAAAAAAAACTTTTGGCTTCTGGGTTTTCAATTTGTATTGCCCTCTCTTGCTGTACCAGTATGATTTATAATAAGTAATTGTAAATGTATTGTAGGTCCTGGCTTGAGCAAGTGCATCAACTTTTCAGCCTAAGGCCAGGAGAACGATCTTGGTCTCTAACATTACAGCTAAAGGTATGACGTCAGATTGTGCGCTTATACATGCTTTAGTGCTTTTGACATGACAAAGTTCATCTTTGTTCCCTTGCAGTTCACCTTTAAGTAAATGTCTTCACTTGTATTTATAATGTTAATAGATCAGCATAGGTGATGTTTGATTATGACTGATGACTTCTATGATAGTTGAAGAGTACAACACTTTGGCTTGGTCAATGTTGTATAATTTTTGCCTGCTTTCTCTTGTCAATTATATTGATTGTTAAATTACATTCGATTATGTACTTAAATTCCTGAAAACATGCCTAATATGATTCAATTGCACTCAGGAACTTGGAGTTTCTGCTGCTTTCAGTTGCACAGAACTAGATTTGATTGTATCTGAAGTTGAAAGGGTTGAGAGTTGGAAACAACAGTGCATGGATATTTTCAGGATAGTAGTTGGAGATGATAATTCATTGCTTGGCAGTTTAGAAAAGGTTTTCAGCTAAAACTGTAATTTATTACATCTAATTGTTATGTTTTCCCTAGGGGTTTGAATCGTTGTTATTGATTCACAGATAGGACAGACTCTAAAGAGATGTATACACATATATGAGAAACCACATGGCTTGAAAGAGAGTAGTTCTTTTGCTTGCTGCTCCAGTGGTTCTCTGGATCAGGAATTTCTTACTTGTTCTTCATGCAAGGACTGGTAAGTTATTTATTGTTATTGTAAATTTTTGCAGGTCCTTCACCCTTACGTGTTATTATTAGTACTTAATTGTTTCACAATAGGTTGCTATTTCAATCTTATTTTTGCACTTCAATCACATGTTTTTACTATGAAGAATTTCAAGCAAGAAACACAATTCCTGTAAATTTTCCCCTCTGTTATAGGTTATAACTTGATATCTTCTTGAACAGCTACCATTTGAGGTGTCTAGGGTCTTCCATGGTAGGTGGAAAACATGCAGAATATGAATGCCCATGTTGCCGATATCTGGTATCTGGAACTTCTTCTCCAAGTGGGCTCAGTACTCTGGTATGTATTTAATTTGTCTAGTATATTCTGTAAGGAAGGCTGTATGTTTGATATCTATTTTAATATCCTATTTATATGGTATAGAAATTTGGTGGGATGCGTCCAGAACTTCAAAAAATTATTGAACATTTATCCGGTGAAGAAGACTTCTGTGTTTGGTAATGAAGTGCACTCTTTTAAGTTACTTGTTTATTCATACTTTATTCTTAAAGTTATTGAAATTATTAACATTGTTTTGGATTTACAGTATTAAAGAAAGAGATGTACTGAAAGAAGTTTTGAAGCAAGCTCAAGCATGCAAATCTCGCTTGACAGAATTAGTGGATTTTGCATTAGCTTATTCTGATAAGGATCTCAGTGTGCTTGTTGAAAAACTAACAACAGCTTTAAAGGTATCTTAAGGAGCGTTTTGCTGTAGTGTTGAACTATTTTATTTTATTTTAAATATGATGGACCCATTGGCTTTGTCATCTAGCATAAATGCCTTGGGTTGGAATTTGCTAGTTATGTTGTTAGAAAACTAGTCTTCCAGAAATTGAAAAGAAAAATGGAGAATAACCAATCTTGGTATATTCTGTTGATGGGAATGACCTTGATATAGGCTTGGTACATCTTCGTGATTGAAATTGTTTTTGTTATACAGGCCAGAGAAATGCAGGGTGTACATGATCATGAAGGTGATATCAACCTTATGTCGGCTTTATCAAGATACTCATGGAAAGTCAGAGTCAATAGGTTATTGGAGGGTTCACAAAAGCCCACAATCCAACAGGTTCAGCAGCAGTTAAAAGAGGTATGTCCTGCTGATATTAAATGAATTTGAAGCACGTTCTGTGTTCTTAAGATGGATTTCTCGTGCAACAATTTCTCTGTCCTTTGTGGTTTTTTTCGACCAAACGGTGGCATGGAAAACATTTTCCAACAGTTGGTTATTAGATCGAGAAATTTCTTTGCTTGTGCACGAGTACTGGATACCGAGAAATGGTGGCTACAGTTTTTTTGCTTTTAGAAACTAAAGAAATGAAAGAAAAAGCATTTAATACATTGAACTTCAACTTTTAAGGCAAAAACAAATGTTCTGGTGTGAGGTCACTCTTGATTGTCCAAAATAGCAAACCTTTATCAAGTAAAGCAATTTAGCAGGAAAGAATATCGTCTATTTTTGCTGTAGTTAATGTTCATGCATTTATTTATCTTTTCTTCAATGTTTAGGGAGCTGCCTTGAACATTCTGCCTGCGGATTATTATTGGCAGAAACTTACCGAAGTGAGGATTATTGGTTTGCAGTGGGCAGATACTGCTAAGAAGGTGAGGAGCACTTTTCTGTCCTCTCTTTCTCCTACCTTCTCTCTTTCTCTCTCCTCTCCTCTCTTATTTGCCTTTTGTGCACAGGTTGCTGCCGATTCTGGGGCTCTCCCCTTGGATAAAGTTTTTGAACTTGTTTCGGAGGGTGAAAATTTGCCTGTTCGTCTAGAGAGGGAACTTAAGGTACAGAGGAGGCTTTCGTCTTAATTATGTGCTGTGGCCTTTTGTTAATAAACTATGCTGATCTCTGACCCCTGAAAAAAAAAATGCTTACTTGTTTCAGTTGTTGAAAGCTCGGAGTATGCTTTATTGCATTTGCCGAAAGCCGTATGATCAACGAGCAATGATTGCGTGTGACCAATGTAATGAGTGGTATCACTTTGATTGCATTAAATTACGTTCCACACCAAAGGTTTACATATGCCCTGCATGTCAGCCTCTAGGAGAAAAGTCTTGTGAACCCGCGGTGGATCAAGAGAGGTCAGTCTTGTCTACTCTAAATTTATTGTATCCTATACCATGCGTGTCCAATAACTGGTTCTTCCAAAATGCATGCTTCGACAGATGTACTGATGCGAAATCTGTAGAGCCCAAAACGCCCTCTCCTATGCGTGCAAAGTGCAGGACGAACCCAAAGAAGGCGGAGTCCAATCTAGCACAAAAGATTCTTGCAATTACAGACCCCAACAATGTTTATAGGTGTTCTAGCGGGATAGAACGTTTATGGTGGCGAAATCGGAAACCTTTCAGAAGGGCGGCTAAACGACGTGCCAAGCTTGATAGTCTCTCTGTGTTTTCTCATTTGGAAGGGTGAAACATTAAAAAGAAAATTGGTTGTAGGCCATGATTTAATTTATTCAATTGATTACCCTGATTTCAGCTCACGTAGATGGTCCTAAATTTTAATTTCCTGAGCTATATGATGAGTTTTCCCCTTTTTTTTGCTCGTCCTGGAAATGTTTCTGAAGTTATAAATGCGACTTTTCAGTTGTATGGAGTAAAGCAGCTCCTCTGGTACTCAAAGGGAAGTGATTTTCACACGTTTTTTAGCATCTCATGTTTTCCTATTTGTTTATGACTATTGAATTGAATAAATTAAATAAATTCAACGATTAGGATTAGGATTAAACCGTAATCTGCAAGAGGCTAAAAAAAGTGTGAGGATCACTTCGGTTACTCTGGTGGTGTGGTATTACGTCTATTTGATGTGTGCCAGTTTTAACTCTATTTTTTAGTGACTTTCACCGAAGATTACTCCCAATTTCACTCTATCTCGCTAAACATAACTCGAATTGATAATAACTTTAAATACCTTCAATTTACTTTTACACCGCATAGGCATCCTCGATCCGACCCATCCCATTGCCAAAGGTTCTTTTTTTTTTTTTTTTTTTTTTTTTTAATTAATGAACAAACAATATTATCTACACTAAGGTAAGGTGATGAATTAGTCTCCCAATCGGCTAGTGGTAATATGATTTAAATTCGCATTTAGCAAAAATCAAATATAAGATTTCTCATTGACAAATTTAGAAAGAAAAAAAAATGTAGAAGTTTTGAAAAAGGGTTGAAATAGTAAACGGGCTATTATAACAGGAAACTTTTTGCAAAAGCACCAAATATTTAACGGGCTGGGCCAGCCTAATGCAGGCTGACAATCATTCAGCCTAATGGCCCACTATATCTTTGGGTCCCAGTCCGACCCATTTAACTTGTCCGTTTCACAAGTTCTAAAGTGCGACGAAGTTAAGCAAACATAGCTAATCAGTAAGATTTAGTTGTATTCCTGTTCATTTATTTTATAAGTGAAAAGTTTAAAGTTAAGTTTGTTGAAGACGGATTTAAACTATTAATTATTCATTATACAGGTAAGAACCTAAACTTTAAACCCTAACTAAAACTCTCCTCGTAATATCGTTTGTGGAAAAAAAAAAAAAAAAAAAAAAAAAAAAAACACACATAAACATTGGCACTGGCACTCCCTCGCTAATCAGTCGACGCCGTAAGTGTTGGACAAAATCCATAAGTGAGTTCGTCAAATATATAGATGAGGTACGTGAAGCCGCTGAACTTGTTCCAGGATCTGGTCAAGGCCAATACTCTGGAACGCGGGCGGTTGCTGGGTTTGGACGTCGGCGACAAGTACGTCGGCGTAGCCGTTTCGGATCTTCATAACAAGATTGCGTCGCCCTTGAGGTACTGGAATAATTTCCTCCTGTAAATCTTCAAATTATTGTTCACGTATGAGTTTGGGTCTCTTAATATTTGATGCGCCGCAGTGTTCTGTTGAGGAAGAAATCAAATATTGGTTTGATGGCTGCCGATTTTCAGAGTTTGGTGAGGTTTTTTTTGTTTTTTTGTTCATTTTGCTGATTTATTTACTTGTTTATGTTAATTGAAGGGCCATTTACAAGTTAAATACTAGAAATTGAAGTTACAGATGTTCTGGCACTGTTAAATTCTGGAAATTTAAAATGAAACTTTGGGTATGTTGTCAAACATTGGTTTGAACGAAATATGAGTTTCTCCGCTATTTTAACTGATGTGTCAGCAATATTGACGATATATATCGATTTTAGCCTAAACTTAAGCGTTTCTCTGATATGAGATGAAGTTTAGACATCCCCCAAATTCCATATCTTTCTTTAATTTTTTGGATATTTCCATGGAAATATCGACCGTATCGAAGAAATTTTAAACATTGGTTACGATACGATAGGGATAGGGCTCATACAAGATGTTAATAGTTTTGTTCTTGTCAGATAATTGGCCAAATGCCTCTCATTGTTTTCATCTGTATCCGTGTTATACGCATTTCTATAGCAATATGTGGCCAAAGACATTATCGTAATCTTATACGTTTTAAACATAAGTAATTTTCAGAGTGAAGTCTAGAAATCATGCTAATGCAACATTAGGTGCTGCCTCAATGATATCTATATGCATTTAGTTTTTCTTCGTGATTGGTTCTGAACTTCTCATGAGTTTAGGAACTTTGGTTTCTCCTGGTCATACCCAAGTATTCAATATCATTAGATTTCTAGGCGTAACCGGCATGTAACCAAGCATGAGTACAAATGATACGTGATATTACATCAGTGATGTAAGACTGTCTGAAACCTTGGTCCATGTTAGTTCCTGAGTCAGATTCATAATTCCTTCTGTTTCTGTATGCAGATTTCTGAGCTTTCTCTGGTGGGCTTCATTGTTGGATACCCGTTCGACAGACAAAAAGGGACTCCTGATGTGTGTATTCTTAGCTTGAGTTGTCTATGTGGGGACTCTCTCATTTTTTTTATCATGATTTTCTTGTCTTTGTTTAGGCTGTCCAAGTGAAGCTTTTCATTGACGACCTCTCTAAGACAAGAAAACTGGAAGGCTTAAAGTATACATATTGGGACGAGGGATTTACGTCAAAGGTTAGTGCGTATAGTGTGGGAAAATTATTTAGTCTTGTGACATGATGCTTCTGACACACTATTCATTCATCATATGGGCACTGCTGCTAACTTGGATGTGTCTAGTGTTAATTTACTATCCGTTAGGTTTTGCAGTTTTTTTGTTTCAAATGTTAAAGATCTTGCGTGTACTTTGTTTGCTGGCAGAAGATCAGCCTACACTTAAAGAGCTAGGCTATTTTACAAATTACATAACAAGTATCCTTATTTTGTAAGCGATCTAGAATCTCAGATTTTATTTTACCGCAAACAGAATGTGGAACTACTGTTGAAGCCTTTGAATCTGCCTCCAGTTCAGTCCAAGACAATTATGGACAAGTTTGCTGCTGTCGGTATACTCCAGGTAGTGTTGTATGTTTTCTTCCGTTTCATAGAATCCAATAAAAGGTGTCGGATTGTGCTAGATAAAACTGAATAAATGTTGTAAGGGACCCCGTTTGGTTTTTTATTTTTCACTATTTGTGCTTGAGATATGGGGAAATTTATAATAGATGTAGAAGAAATGTACACAAAATGAAAACTAAAAACCAAAAGCTACTGTGAGTTGTTTTCCCTCTCAAGATTTCATTTTCGTTCATTATTCTTTATTTCTTCTCTCCCACCAACTTTGTTCATCTATCCTTTCTCCCATATGTACTTTCCGCATATCTCAATCATGTGAAATGGTGGTTATCAAACGAGAACTGATTCTTTGGTTCTTTCAAGTAGACAATACGAAGAGCATTCATCCCAATCAATTTTCAGAGTCTTGGGTGCTAACATCAATTTATATTTCCATATTTGTCAGGGATACTTGGATTATGTGAACAGAGAGCTGAAGTCTGACGTCACTCGGTAAAGTGTCTCTGAATGGATATAGCTGTTTCTTACTTGTTCATGACAGAGCGATTACGTTACGACTGCACTCAAGATACACTCTGCGGATCACCTATCATAGAAGAATTGAATTGGTAAGGTTCTAAGATCGTTGACCTAACTGGTAAGCAAACTTAGTACTTTCCTGAGCTATTGGAGCTGGATCAAAATTATCACAAATGAAAATTTTGGTGAAGACAAATACACTCGAGTCTCAACCGATGACGATGACTCCAATTTTGTCCTTCTGGACTTTGTACTGTAATGTTCAAAACTAGGATTATAGTTAGTACTGACATAACATAGTTAAGTTCTCAAGCTTTCCGTTTAAATCGTTTTGGGGAGAATTTTTCCAGAGTTTGTTCCCGGTCGATTTTCTTGGCAACTCTTTTCTTGCATAACAAACAAACCCACAAAGCACTCCAGTCCTATTGACAAACAGACCGGTACCACTGTACCACATTATATTTTTCAGGCATGAGCTGCGTATTGCGCATATCAACTCATCACATCCGCTGGTTTTTAATCTACAAAAATGGAGGGCTGAGGTTTGTTGTAAGGGAGCTGCAACGTTTTGTCACGCAGATGGAAAAATGTTCTCTTTACCAGGGCGGAATCAAGGATGCTTCTGGTGTGGATGCTTGGATTTGCACTGATATCCGGTGTGAAGTTGTGGAACTTGATCTCGGACTATCTTCATCCGTGTGTCTTAAGTTGCGTAGATGCCTTTTCGAGTGCAAAACATTGGCGGTTTAGAAACTGTTTCTCAATTACCTCCATGTTCGATTTTCACAAAAGTTTATGCCCGCGAGGTGTGGCAGATTGAAAAACTCGTCATAATGTCATGTCAGTTTATAAATTAACTAAAGGAGTGCGTCAACACCCAATGCTCAAATTTGACGGCATTTCGAATAATTAGCCAGTGAAGCAAAATAATGTCATGTGCTAAGACGAAAGTACATATACATATGCATAATATATACATATACATACATTAACATACGCGCACACATATACACATACACACACTTATACGTACATACACATACAAGTAGTCATTTGACTTGAGACACCACATATGCCTTTTGGGTGTCTTTCATCATTTGACAATGTAACAAAGTACATGCCTCATCTTGGGCATGTTCCTAGCATTGTTGGGTCATTAATTTATCCGTAGAGACATGTAAGTGTACAACAAGGGACCTCTAACCTTCCATAGTGGAAGAAGAATACTCTAAGATATGGTTCGAGAGTCCTTGGCCAAATCATATGAATATGACTTAGGAACAATGTTCCAAATCATATTTACTAGAATCATATACAGAAGTATCGTATTGGATAGTAGACATGAGATAAACTATCAACCAAACAATTTATCAACTAAACAATGTGGTTAGGAGTATTGAATTAGAGAAACACTGTATTGCATTGTAGTTGTAACTGAATAAGTTCTTCAACCACTTCTATTTAGTTTGGGTAGCCATGACATACTGTCAGGTGTCACTCATGGTTTGTGAAAGCCTTGAATATTAGTAATCATTAATCTTCATCATAGGGAGATTGAAAGTAAGTTTTAATTCACAATTGTTTAGTAAGAGTTACAATCATCCACTGCCTCGTTAATTGTAACCTAATGGATCGTACATCGTATTAGGGTGAGATGAAAGATATGTAAATGGGATGGATATAAGCAATTAAATAGTTTGATTGTGTATGGTTAAAATTAATTAATTATTTATTTATCATAAGAAAGGTTTGTACTAGGCTTCAAATTAGTTTCGGGTTTTCTAGGCACAATGAGCTTTGATCCATAAGGTCCATTAAACTTTGTATGACAATTTAAACAAAATGAGACACAAGCCCACCCACACTAGGGTAGCTGGCTATACATGAGGATTGGCCTCAATTTCACTTATGTCACTCACTTGTGTGTGTAAAAGTGACCTTATAGGCAAAAACTCATTAGGGTTCTTTGGAGAGAAAGTTTGGAGGCACACAAACTCTCCCTCTCTCTCTTTAGCTAGCCAACTAGATAAAGTTTTATTAGCATCAAAACTTCTCCTAGTTTATCCATCTTGTCTTCACATCACATCCATGGTGTGTGGACTTAGAGGTGCCATCTCTTTGCTGCTTGAAGAATCCTTTCATCAAATTCTCAAGGAGCAAAGGAGCAATGAAGAAACAAAGATCCAAGGAGCAAGGAGAGGACTTGAAGGCCCTCCACTTGGGTGGTTGCCTTCTAAAAACAAGGATGCTTCAAGGGTAAAGTTCAAACTTTCTTCTTTCATTTATGGAAGGAGTCTTGGTTCACCATCCACTAGGCCTTGAATTTTTATGGAACTTAGATTTGTTTTGAGTTCATACTTTTTTTTAATTGTTAATATATGCATATGTTGCTCAAATAATCTCTATGATGATTTGATTTCATATTATATATTTTCCCTTATTCTTGGTATGTTTTGGTAATTAATTTGGTGAAATTTTGATACTTTGAATTATATTTTCAATGTAGGACTTTCAACTTCCTCTTGATAAAAAGTGATCAAATAGATGAATTTTGGAGTGATTTCAATTGGAGGATGTTTGTGAGTCTTTCAACTAGTTCATGGCAATGTTTCATATTTTTCTACTGAACGGATTATTTATGGTGATGAAATGAATGAGTAGCGTGCAATGCTGCCAAAGTGACGTTTTTGGGCTTATTTGGGTTTTTTGGTGTCCAAGATTGTCTCTTTTGGGTTTGGACCCTCATGAAGATATGTTCATAATGTCTTTAAAATAAGCTATCTTGTGCCTGTTTTGGAGCTTTTTTGAGTTAAAAACGTGGTTGATCAATTTGATGGCATATTCTCCATGTTTGACTAGAAGATTGTTTCCTAGTTTTATTCTAAGACATTTTCTAGGAATGATTTCAACTGTAGTAGCATAAATAAGGTCTTTTGGCTAGCCCTAGTCGTCTTCTTTGTACGACTTTGGAGAGAGTAGTTTGGCTAGAGCTTTTGAAGATTCTGAGACTTTTACCTTCAAGGTGTTTTAACTCTTGTTCTATTTCAATAAAATTCCTTTTGATTTTAATTATGAATATGTGTAATTAACTTTCTTTTGCTAGGGCGAGGCCATGAAAATTAGTATGAATATGTAGTTTTTATTTAATTGCTTATGATATTATGCATGTGTACTTTGAATTAGTAATCACTATGTTTAAACTATCATTGTGACAGCCCGTTTTGGAAATTTTTAAAACGTACGCGTGAAATGACGATTTTGCCCCTAGAGTCACCTTTACGTTGTGTGGTTGTTTTGAGCTTGGTGTCGCTAGTTGTGGACCACACACATTTCCACACACACACATCCTCACCATTCCCTGCCCTGCACCCCCCTGTCTCGAGCCCTCTCCTTCCCATTTTCCCCCTCCATTTGTACGGACATACCTAGAAACCACCCAAATCTTCACAGATCGAAGAAACAAAGTACATAGCCATGCTCGCGAGGTCCGTAGAAGTCCAACCATACCTATTTCAGGTAAGGATACCTTCGTTTTCACGTCGAACTCGAGATACCCGATTTTTGTCACTGTTCATGCACACGTAAATTCTGATGTTTTTGGGAATTTCAAGCTTGTAGGAAGCTTGGTGAGGTCTTTTGGAGGCTTGGGGTGGTTCGTTTGAAGGTTTTGGATGTCGGGATCGTGAGTTTCGAGGTTGGCCGGAGTTGGTGGTGTTTTCCCGGCGAGATTTCGTGGAATTTAGCACTTGAAAGTGGTATGAACTTGTTCCTCTCGTTGTAAGCTTCAATTTGGTACCAATTTTGTGAAATTTAGTTGAAAAACGAAGAAGATATCACGATTTGAAATTTTCCCGATTTTCCGGCGCCGGAGCCTCACCGGAGAAGACGACGGAATATTCCGTCAAAACTGACGGAATATTCCTAACGGCGTTAACGGAATCCGTTAAAGTTAACGGAATATTCCTGATGGCGTTAACTGACGCTGTCAGCGTGCCAGGCACGTGCCTGCGCGTGGCAGGCGCGTGTGGCCGTGCCTTGGCCGGCGCGTGTGATGGTGAAAATTTTTTCTAAAAATATGGGGATGTTCCTGAGGTTGAGTAGATCACGTTGGTGTATTCATACACCCCATTTGAGCATTGTATGAAAAGTTATTTATTAAGGTTGGTTATGTGCTTTAAAATTAACGTTTTTGTAGTTGTTTCGCATATAGGTGAGACATATCCCGAGGACGAGCGTGGTCATTCGAGGCAAGGAGGTTACGACCCTTCTACATACCAGTGAGTGGGCTTTTGGTTTTCCGTATATACCTGTATACTTATGTTTTTCCCAGAAAATGAATTAAAATGTTTATACGTCTTGATGCCATGCATTGTATTTATCGTTGGTTATGCATTATTAGTAGCATATATATATATATATATATATATATTGTTTGTTGGCGCTGCGAACGCAAGGGAAAGTGCCAGGTGAGTATGTTTTATATTTGCTTTCAGTAGTGATTCTAGATACATAGAGAGCTCATAACTTGCACCCCCGATGTTAGTGCTCCTGCCCAGTGTAGGGCACAGTCCTTCACGTGATGTTCACCTCCTGCACCATACGCTCGTCTTGGATCCAAGTTAGGTGCACAGTCCTGTCGTACAGACCACTTTAGGTGGTTCCGACTCGTAGGTGACCCACGATTATTCGCCCAGCCTTCACGTGATCGTAGCACTTGAGCGTACCTATATTACACCCAGGCCTGTCGTACAGACCACTTTAGGTGGTTCCGACTCGTGTGCAGGTATAGTTAGTGAGATGGAGATTCGAGCTCTAGATTCAGCCGTATAGGTCACGTTAGGTGACTCCGGCTGACAGTTTACATAGCTTTGATTTCGATATTTCCTGGGCACTTACATTCTAATTAGAGACATGTGGCATGGCATATTTTTCCGAGCATGATTATATATATGTATATTATGTTTCTGGGAAGTATACAGGTTTTACGGCGAGGGATTAGAATTTGTTTTGAAATGGTTTTTGATTGTTTTTGCCCACTCACGCTTTTGTTTTGCGTCCCTCCAGGTTCTAGTTGGCTAGCACGTTTGGTGGCTTCCTTGAGGATTTCCCCGGCATATCTGACAGACCGTCACTAGTGTAGGACCACCTTCGGGTGTACTTTTGTTGTGTCGTTTTTTCCCGGACTGCATTAGGTCTTCGTGCTCTGAACTTTGTTTTCACACTTTGCTTGCACATGTATGTCACTACCTTGTGTTAAGCCGGATATTATTTTTATTATTATTTTATTAGCTTCCGCACTGTGCACTTGGCTATGTCACTTCCACGCGACGACCAGCATGCCCTGATCTCGATCGGGGTGTGTCAATCATCTTAATGCTTAGCTACCATTAGGATCTTTAAAAAAGTAATTTGATGCAATTTTGTCAGAAGGTTTCTTGAAATTGGTTATGACTTCTTGTGGTTAATAATTGTAATTTCACTTAAGGCGAACACCACGTCTTAATGGTTGCATGATTTTTCAAAGAGTTTTAATAAAGCTTAGTAAGTCTTTTATGTTTACATGTGATCCGAATTGCATGTTTGATATACATTCTAGGTTGGAGGTCCAAGTAGAATGTACATTAGGAAAACCTAACCTTCAAAGTTGCATGTCTAATTCATAGGTAATTGATAAATTACATAGGATTGTTAGAACTCTAGTGCTTTTACAAATTAATTTTCAAAAATTATTTTCTTTCCCTTTTTTTAATATTGCAGATTTTTCTAATCGTTTTAATTAAAATCAGTTTCGTTAAGCTAGGTCATAAAATCAACATATTTTCTAAAACTTTGTTTTAAGTAATGAATTAAGATTTAGATTAAATATAAATTGTTTTTAAATATCCCTGTGAAGAACGACCTTGCTATAGCCGTTTATATTATAGTACAACTACCTATTCTCTTGCAAGTATTTTGTGTGATTTTAATCTGTTTTGTGCATATACTAAAAATCCTATCACTATAGCCAACAATTTTCATTCATTTTTTTTACTAGCCAAATTTTTTTTTGTTCGTACCAAATAGAACTAGAGAACTTATGAAAAAGGATCCCACAAGTCCAAAACCAATATACCCTACCCTAGTGTAAATATATCTTCGTATAACTATAAATATATAAATATAAAAACAAGAAGCACATGACTTATTTTGAATGAAAAACTTAGGAGAATTAGGAAGATATGACAAATGGATGATTTCAAAAAATTGATATAATGAATGAGTTAAAATTTACTTTATATGACAAATCGAAAAAAAAAAGTATAAATTCATATGACATTTCAATTTTTTTTTTTTTTTTTAGCATTGAATTATCAGATTAGCTAGCGATCAACCATCAATTGGCAAAAGAATCATGCCACTTCAATAAGCGGACAAAAACTCCGCATTAAGACCACTCAAATTGTATTGAAAACTAAACCAACCAAAGCTTGTAATCCTTTGGCCACCTGTGGTGCATCTCCCTATCGAATAATTCAGCCTCACTCTTCTCTCAGCCAAACCCTAAACCCATGGCCGATATAACTTTTGGTCATTATTTTGGCCCTTTTTTCATGCCCCCCAAGTCTGGTTGATCGACCAACTTTGACATATGGTAGTGGTTTTAAAACTTCACATTTCGTCAGTATTTTGACGTAATTTGGTCGTCGAACTAGGCTATTTGTTGACTTTCATCTTGTACGGTATTTGCATTTTCCTCAATCAATGGAAAATTCAAGGGCCGACTCCTCCATATGCTTTATGTCAATTTACTCTCGGGCCACCTCTCTCCCTTTTCCTTTTCCCTTTGTGAAGGAGATGGAGAACAGCCTTCGTTGCATGTTTGAGTAATAGATGCTCTCTCAAGGTCCTCTTTTTCTAGGACCTGTGAGGACCTCTTTTATATGAGCCATAAAATTAATCTAATGGTAGAAAAATTAATGAGTTTATATAATCATGTTACACCTAAACAAAATCAAAACATGCTAAAATATAAAAATAGGGTTCAAACTCATCCTTCATTCCTGTTTCCTGAGAGGGATGAGCAAAAATGTAACCAGTTCGATCTCATAGAAATATTTCGCCAAGGACGTCATCCCAACCCTCCCTTTCTACCGCTCTGCTCCACCCTTGAAGATCGTTGCTGGCGGTTCAAGATCGTCCCTGGTAAGATTGTTCCTCCATGATACAACAATTTGCAATTAAAATTAAAAGTGAAGCAAAAAAAAAAAAAAAGAAAGAAGAATGAGGTTGAACCACCACCACAAAGAAATATAAAATAGAATGGTGCTCAATTAGGAAGCATTTCTGGGTTACTATGAGACCTAATTAAAGAAGAATGGTACTCAATTAATTCCATTCTATGATAAACATCAACGTGATTCTACTTTTTTCGACAATGGGGACGGGAAAATTGGGAGAAATTGAAATCAATACAACTATAAAGGAAATACATTTTCGTAGCTTCAAAGAGAATTTTACTTTTCTGAGGACACTATGAAATCGGAATTCACACTGCTCTCCTTCAACTTGCAGCTGTCAAAAATTTGAACGTGAACCCACTTTTTATTTTATTTTTTAGCGCGTTTTGATTTTGTTTAAGTGTAACAAGATTATATAAATTCATCAATTTTTGTATCGTTAGATTAATCCTATACTTATATAAAAGAGGCCTTCACAGGACCTCAAAAAGAGGACCTTAGGATAGCACTCCTAGTTTGAGTAAATTGTTTCGCCAAATTCATAATCCGAACCATTAGTTATGTTGGTTGAATTATTTTGGTCATATTGACCACTATAAACAAATTGACTATTACAACCGAAGAAGAAAATTCACAAGCTTAAGTTTCATGTAAATAGGTGTTATTTTTGAATTTTCATGAGTAAAAGTTTAAAAATAACAAATTCCGTTGTTATTTTAGGCTAACCAAACAAGAAAATTCATAAATTCTAGAAAATAAAATTTCTTTATTTTAATTTCCGTCAGTTTAAAATTCTTTAGTAATCTTAAATTGTCTCATCCAAACAGAGTGTTATAGTAATGTCATTAGAGGCATATTGGCTGCCCGAGTCATTTTGGCTACTAAAACCATATTGTTCATTATTTATGTATTGGCTACTAAACCCATACTCACCGTAGTTTATCCACCGATATGAATATTACAATCCATATTGGCTGCTTATATACAGTATGCCACTGGGCATGCCTAAACTGTTTCCCTTTTGTTTTTTTTTTTAAGGATTTAGTCTTTTCTTTGTCTGGATGCGTGAGTGTGTTGCCACGTGAACTAAATTGCCCGATGTAGAAAAGATGTGAGTGTGAATTGCGTTTGCACCTTAGATTTGATTTCTAATCAAACGATTGAACGGTTTTTTACCTCGAAGACAAGGCTTTGAAGCAACAACCAAAATAATGTTAAATGGTGAAGGTAAGGATTGAGCGAAAAAGTAAAAGGAATTTAGAATAAATGAAATTAAAATTAATCTACTTGTGAGAAAGTAAATTAAATGAAGAGCGAGTGCGTAAAAATAAAAGTTCTTTGAAATTAAATAAAATTGCAAAAGCAAGACGGAAAGTAAAATGCGTAAAAAATAAATAAAAAAAGACAACTGCAGTTAAATTGCACAAAATAAATTAATTAATATCATAAAGTAAATTAAAAACTTGTATTGAAAGGAAATTGAAAAGCGAGACTATGGATTACATTGTGCTGCTCCTAGAGAGGAATTGAAGAGAATAAAATGATACGTTTGTGTGTTTAATTAAGGATCATTTTCTTTTCCTTAAAGTTTGTATTTACAGGTTTTCGTTAAGTCTAGATACCTTGTCTCGTGATCACGTCAATCAACAGAAATCTTCCTAATAGTTTACATTGACTAGGCCTTGATTGTGTCCATTCCATCATCTTCATTTGGACCAAAAAAAGTTTCGTATCACTTAAATCAAGGGTGTAATTTAGCATAATATGATTTTCAACCTTATTTGGACTGCTAGATTCAATTAGACCAGAGAGTGTAAATTCGGGTACAAAATACCAAAACAAAGGTGGGTGTCATGTGGGTCACATGACTTTTACTCCCACTTGTATAGTCAAGTTTGAAACACATGTTCTTATTTTTTAGTTTTAGACCGGTAATGAACACTTTATTGACCACGTTAATTACGAATTAATTTGTTTCTAATCCATATAACTTTGCTATTGCTCCATTTGTCTCGATATTGTTACATCAATAACATTGAAGGAAAACATATTTTCCTACATTTATACTTAATAGATTTATTGTCATTGTAGCGTCTTAAATCACTAAAACAATGCCATTAAATTTTTATAACAATACTATATTTTAAACTCTCCATATTCAATATCGTAATAGTAGTTCGAAAAAATCATGACGATGTTGTATTTAGTGGCTCGGAAAAAGAAGTAAACTCCCATACTATAAGAATCTGTCTCCCATTTGAGACCCGCCCATGACCAAATTCTAACCCATTCCAATTAGTAAAGTATTACTTTTCGTCTCCTAGCACTGTTTACATCAGATTAACAATCTGTTGAACCTAACCCAGCAAAAGATGCCCACACCAAAGGGGTCATTAAAGAGGAAAACGAGAGAGAGGCGAGGGAGGGAAAGTGGAGCGGAATGTGGGGACTGGGGGCCCTGGAGGGCTCTGTGCCCTAAGCAAGGGCAATCTGATGAGGGCATCCTGGTTGGTAGTTTGGTAGGCTCCACACTGTTGTCCAATAGCATTAGGCCTTTCCTATCTAATAGTCACAGACACACCACAACTCCCCTCAGGCCTCAGATCAGACTAAAGAAAAAGGAAAAAGTTCTCTCTCTCTCTCTCTAGTAGTTCACACACACACACACACACACACACTCTCTCTCTCTCTCTCTCACACTCGCAACTTTAATTCAAAACCTCAAATTTTCAATTCATTTTTTCCACCCCAACCCCCCCTTCCCGTCTTCCCTTTGTCTTTTCCTCCCTCCTTTTTCTCCCTTTTCCACCTCCTGCATTTTCCTGTCAAAACCCTAGATTTGAAATCTAGGGTTTTGTTCTGTTGCTGTGTCTGAGGCAGTGGCTCAAGAGCTGCCTGAGCTCCTGATTTTCTACATTTTGGTTTTTGCTGGGCATTTTCTGTGATGGGTCTGTAGGGGTCGTACTGTTCAAGCTCTGCAGTCACTTGGTTACTTGTTTCTGTGGGTAAAGGTCAGAGCTTTATAGGGTTTTTTAGATATTCCGAAACTTCAAGCAAAACCCTTTTTTTTTTTTCTTTTTATAAGCTCACTCTGTTTCTGTATTTTGAAGATTTAGGGTTAAAAGGGATTTATCTCCCTCTTTTTTTTTTTGTTTTTGAAAATAATGTTTTAACTTTTTCCCCCATTTTGTTCGAATTTTCCGTTTTCTGAAGAATTGACCAAGAGGGTTTGTAGAAACAATCTTTAGGTGACAAAAAAGTGAGTTTTTTGGTGACAAATCTCTTAGTAAATGCATGGATGGGAGGGAAGCAATGGGATTGTCTGGTGGGTCAGCTTCATACTACATCCATAGGGGAGGAGGGGTTGGTGGGTCTATGCCTGGGTCACAGGCTACTGGCGGTGGCGGCGGACCTCATCATGCTCCACCTGGGTTCAGGCCCATCTCAAACACACTCATGCAACCTCAGTCCAATGTGAGGGTCAGCTCTGCGGGATCAACATTCTCAGTAGAGCCTTCAAGACCCAATTTTCAACATCGTGGCAGTACCATGAATGTCGCTCCCGGAGTGCCTTCAGCTCAGCCTGTAAAGAAGAAAAGAGGGAGGCCCCGGAAGTATGGCCCCGATGGGCCGGTTTCTCTGGGGTTGTCTCCCATGTCTGCAACACCTACTCCTACACCGGGTTCAACCAGTCCGACCCCGAAACGTAGTAGAGGGAGGCCACCTGGGAGTGGTAGGAAGCAACAGTTGGCTACTCTTGGTAAATCTCTGTGCAATTTCTAATATCCTTTTTTTATGCCTTACTTTTGTTTGCTTATGGTTCTAATTTTATCAGTTTTTCTAAATTTAGTTGGCTAGCATGTAGTGGCCCATTATTGTTAGCATTTTCTTATCAACTTCGTTCATTTGATTTCTATAAATGGTGGTTAATTCATGCCAATTCTGCTAATGTTACTAAACTTCCTGCATTTTGTAAATTACGAGTAATGTCCTTGAGGTGTTCACTAACAAGTTTTTAGCACAAACATCTAAACATGTATAGGAGTTCAGAAGCAGAGATGCACGCAGAAGTAACAGTCATAGATTCTAATGTTATGGTTGTTTTATGTACGCTACACCTATTTTTTATGATAGTTAGTGCTTAGATGTTTGTAATTTTCCAGTTCAAGTTTTTCTATTTCTCACATGAATTATAAAGGCGGCTTATTCTTACTATGTCTTGGACGTTTTAAACTGTTTTCATAGGGGATTGGATGAACAATTCAGCTGGATTAGCTTTTGCACCCCATGTTATCACCATTGGAGCTGGAGAGGTATGCCATACACCGCTCGTATTACTAAGATACTAAGAATTGATGTCACAAACATTTTGTGTTCTACAATGGAGTTGCTCCAATATGTTGTGTTCAACAGTCCCTTTGTGAAGACATAGGAGGTTGTCATTGTTTGTTGTCTTTATTTAATTATGGTTTCAATTCTGCATAAGCTCTTAAGTTCATGCATAAGGAAAGTAAAACAGATGAATACTAGAAATGGGCACTGATCATTCTTACCAGCCCATAGTATGCTTGCTTCAGATAGCGAACTAGAAGCTTCTGAACCAAATAGTTTTTCGAATATTGCAGTAAAAGTTTCTGGATCATGAATCTATAGGGGAATAAGAATTACACTATTAAAATTTTGCGTAATGCTTTACCTGTTATTATGTTAAAGCATGGTAGGAATTATTAGAAGTTTATAACATGTACAATGTCTTGAACTTGCTTTTGGATGATAATTATGTGTTCATTTATTGCCTAAATGGAATGGCCGTATCACTAGGATTCCAGAAAGTTGAGATACATAGTACATACAATTGCAAAAACACACGCAAGTAGGGCTACTCTATATGAATGCAACACTTGTCTGTCTACTGTTTCCTTAATGGTTTCTTTAGCGTTTGGTTCTTGATGAAAGTCTTAATGTCAATGTTTAACTTGCTTTTGGATGATAATTATGTGTTGATTTATTGCTTAAATGCACATGAGCTCCTGCCCCTGTTAAACTTTTCCTTATTGTTTTTCTATAGGACATTGCAGCAAAATTATTGTTGTTTGCACAACAGAGACCAAGGGCGCTATGCATCTTGTCAGGAAATGGTGCAGTGTCTTCAGTAACTCTACGTGAGCCTGCATCTACTGGTGTCAGTGTCACATATGAGGTTAACTCAATTTTATCTCTAATTTTGCTCATATTGTGCCTAAGAAAGAATTCCATTTTAGATGCCTTTCCTTTTATGTTGGACTATATCTAAATTATGGATAATTACGAGAGTGGGGGATATGCTGCATGTTTTTTCATTTTATAAAAACATTTCTTGCAAATACTAAAGTTGCAAATTAGTTCAGTTAGTGAAGTGTTGTAACATTTATGATTGCGAAGAGCTGTCCTGGCTCATTGTGCAAGTTTGTGGTTGGTTATATGTATAACACATCTCATTTTCTGTAATAATTTGAGCATTTTTAGTTCCTGATGAGAAATTAGTGCAAAAATTATGTCCGTAGGAAAAACATATGGAGCAGAAGAAATAACTCCATTTTAGTTCCTTTTCCTTCTGGGTTGGACCAGATCTCAGTTTTACTGAGAATTTCTATTCCAAAACTAGGATAGGAAGCTGCAAATTTTCTTCCATTTGTTTAAATCATTTCTTGTAAATACCTTAAGTTGCAACTGTAATTTAGTTGTTGAGCATTGTAATGTTTACAATTGCAAAGAGCTGTCCGCTCTTTGTGTAAGTTTGTGATTGGTTATAATTTGAGTACATTTCATTTTCTTTAATACTTTGAGCACTTTGTTTGGTTCAAATAGCTGATAGGAAAGGGAAATTAGCGCAGTAATTAGTACTTATCACATACATATGGGGAGAAAAGCAGTTGGTATACATTGACGGCCTTCGGGCCACCAATATAATTACAACTAATGAAAGAATAGAATGAAAAGGAGACAAATGAAAAAGAGAAGAGGAGGGAGGGGGGGGGGGGCGGGTAGGAGGCAGGGAATGTACGTGTGGAAAATGGTAAGAAAATAACTCAAAGGGTCTTGGGAATTGTAGATGTTGCCGTGTGACAGCGCACTGGCTGTTTGAAGATTTATGGGTTGATGGTGGCTATAACAGCTGCAAGTCTCAGTGAGATCTCCAGATAATTGGAATGTTAGAATCAGAGATGCTTATGGTGATTATCGGTTAGGCAGTTGCCAACCCTTCTCAGTGGCCGAACCTAACATAATTAAAGTGGACTGGTTAATGCATTACTAAGAGGAGAACAGGTGCCATTAGGAGTGGGGTTAACTGTTAGCGGACTCTGTTCGACAGTAATTAGTTCAGAATCTCAGATACTATCCAGGTTTAAGTAAGCTTGAATGCCTACTTCTGTCTCCAAGAAGCAACATTTCTCTTTCTTTTGTTCCTTTCTGGAGCAGCTCAAAAGGTTTATATATTCTTCCCGGAAACATGCCTTGATTTTATCAAGTAGATTGTCTGTCATATTATTTAATGCTGAAACAGTGAATCATCTAAAAATGCACTTACTTTTGCAAGTCCAATTTTTTGCAATAGTTAGCTTATTCCTCCCTTATAACTCGGTTGTTTATGTGGCTCTGCAGGGTCGGTTCCAGATATTATGCTTGTCAGGTTCTTACTTAGTTGCAGAGGATGGTGGACCTCGCAATCGAACAGGGGGAATAAGCGTTTCCCTTTCTAATCCTAATGGTCATGTCATTGGTGGTGCTGTGGCAGTGCTGATTGCAGCAACTCCAGTGCAGGTATTTTGTTTACTGCACAGTAATTTGTTCAAAGTTTCTAGGCTCAATGCTAATGCCTATTTCCTGCTGGTTGTCTGCACATGCGCACATGTTGTGACGTGATATTTGTCTAGCATCGGACGATGGACGATCTTAAAAGCACTTTTTATCAGTTCTAATTGTAGTGAAGGAATGTGGAGACCTATTGAGAGATCTAATTCATGTGTTGTTGCAGGTTGTGCTTTGCAGTTTCGTATATGGTGGCTCCAAGACCAAGAACAAGCAACTGGCTGATCCCAATAGCGATGAGAATTCCGAGCCACAGCATAGCGAGAAATTGGGTCTAGCAAGCAGTGCCCCACCAACTCAAAATTATAATCCCTCCGGAGCAGGCATTTGGCCTGGCTCGCGGCAAGTTGATTTGAGAAATGCCCACACCGGTATTGACTTGACTCGAGGGTGAAGATAAGCTGCAACAGACACATGCCAGGTTTGTATATATGTGTTGTAAATGAACTGAATCTGTGATGCAACTCTCCGACCCTTGTTCACCCACTGGTGGGTAAACAAGTTTGTGCTAACATAATCTGTAACAAAATCCATAACTCCAGGGGATGTTTCGGGTGACATAATTCACTCGTTGAGGAAGTTTCAAGTAGTGTGGAGGTTAAAATATTCGTCAGTAGCAAGAAATTCTTTTGGCTTTTAGGTGGAAACTTCCTATTTGAATCAAAAGTCCATTTGAAGTTTGTAACCGATTCAAAAATGACAATTTGTAGAATTGTATGCTGCATATGCATGGATGAACGAGTCTCTTTTTCATTTATTCTGTCTCCGGAGCAACTTGTGTTTTGCCACTTAGGTGATGAAGCATTGTCTGAGCCATTCAGGGCTCATTTGGAAGTGATTATGAAAAGAGCCATCAGTTCTGAGTAAAAGCGATTATGGCCTCAGAAGTGATTATAGCCCCCTTCGATAATCACTTGCAAGCATCCCGCTAATCTCATTGATTTGTCTGGTATCTTGATGTGTGGTTCCGTGTGTAACAATTTGGAACCATTACGATGTTTACCACTCCTATGAAACTATGATCTTATGGGAGTGTTTTAGGGGCAACACTGCTTGTATTGATCGGAAAAACGTAAAACGCAGTGAATCCAAAACACGACAGTGCAATCCAAAACACCACATGGAATGCTCATCCCCCGTCTGCTCAAACAGGTGTGAGTTAGGCGGTGGTGGCGTGACCATATCCGTCGGACCTTTATTTCGTGAATGCCACCAGACGGGCAGTTTTCTTCAAATATATATGTCCACGAGATTAGCATCTTTACACTCCTAACAACCAATTAACATACCGTGTTTTACAAGATTTGAAGTAAACTAGATAAAGCTAGTGAGTTTTTGAGTCACAGGTCATTGTCAACAATGGTTCGGAAGAGATGATTACATCCCGACTCCCAACTAGGCCAATGTCAATCATCACACAAAGAACAGATATCGTTTTGTACGATTAGTGAAACCGGCAGGGAGCATGCACACCCTCGGGTTAACGCCTTTGCATCGCACAGTATTCATAATTCACGAGGCTTCCAAAAGCCTGTTTATGTCATGCTGCAAAAATAATACAATGTCACACAACTAGAGTACTTGACAAAACCTGCAGATGATCACTGCAATAAACAACAGAAGCAGCATAACATAAGCATATTTGCGAATTCGACGTCTAAGTTTTCACCTGAAGGCTAAGGGGGGAAGTTGATGGGTAATAACGACCGACAGGTTTTCCTTGCTTGTTGACAAGAAACTTAACAAAGTTCCACTGGATATCATCTCCGAAGAATCCCCATTTGCCTAACTTCAAGAACTTGTACAACGGAGCAGTATTAAAGCCGTTTACTTTAATCTAACACAGAGAACAAAAATGGTAAATTTACAAAATGTCTGAAATAATTACAATACCGACCAAGAACACATCTAAAATTCTTAACCTGCAAAAGTTCTAAGGGAGTTATAAATATAGAACAATTATAGTTACAATGCAGTTCTTCGTCGTTTTACAAGGACAATACATGCATGAGGCATCCAGTCGAATAATCTTCTGGCTTGCCTAAATGCTTTAGTAAGTTTACGCTGTTGGAAAGCATGCAGACGTGACATAATCTTGTGTTTCAGTTCTGAATCTACCTTGTTAAAAATTGGGAATGCTGTTTTGAAACGAGTGCAGGCAAACTCTTGAATCTGATCATTACTTCCCGGTTCCTGAGCAGTTAAACTGGTTACACGGAAATGCCAGAATCTCCAAGCCTGTGTCGCAGCCACCGGTACATCATACAAAAAAAGAACCAAAGAGAAAAGTAGAAATATATGCTGAAGCTGCAAAACAGTACAGAATGCAAACCTTGATCTTTATACTTTTGATATAGTTGATTCAACTCCGTGTAATTTTCCTCCGTCAATCCACTGCAAAATCAGTGAAATCCAACAATGATTATAGAGTTTTTATTTTCTTTTTACAAAAGAAATAAATTAAGGGAATTGTTATTGGCACTCAAAAAATCTCATTTTATATTCCAAACTTTCTATAATTAGAAACAAAAAAATACTTGTGAGGAGTGTAGAATGAGATTTTTGACGTGTTAATAACAATTCCCTAAATTAAGAACAAATAAATGCGAGAAGGGCCTGAATATGAGGAATACCATTGGGAAGCAACATTAACAACCATCACAACCTTTCCCCTGTACACGCTGAGATCGACATCCTTTCCCTTAACATCCTGCACAAACATATAAATTATTAACTATCAGATGAACTATAAACCAAAGAACAAAAAAATACTACTTCTAAACTGAATTTCTAGCATGGATTTAATCAAATACAAATCAACACTTTTCGTTCATATTCCCAACAAAGAAACGAGCCATATGTTTTGGGTTTTTCCAATGTTGTGTCAATGTTTCTTTCTCTCCCTTTCAATTATGCTTTTGTCTTGGCACCCAAGCCACACTTGAGGAATATTATCAAACATCCCAAAAGGGGAGTATATATCCAACATAATCTCATCTCTTCAAAATTATTGTTTTACAATTTGGAGATTAACATTGGCGTTTGGTTTGCAGATTGGAGCCCTGGAATGAGTATGAGATATCATACCAATGTTTGCCAAACACACTAGAATTCATACCCTTGGCTTCCCTCGAGAATTCTTTTCCCATCATTTCGAAAAGCATGCATTATTGTTTTTTCATGTGACAAATTTTACCACTCGTCACACATAATTTCAAAAAACTCGAGTCAAAATTTTCCATTCCATCTCTTGAGAATAGACGTGGCTTGCAGGCTGAGTGACTAAGAGTTAACTACGCTCTTTGGTGATTGATTGCTGATGTAGGCGTGCCAATTTGCTATAGAGCTTGGCCGGGCAAATACTTTTTGAGTGTGATAGAATATGCTTCTGACTTCTTAATCAGGTGAAGGAAGGAACACTCCCGACCTTAGATTCTAGAACCTAAAGACACAATTATGCCTTTTGCTATGAAATTCAATCTTCTGCACTAGGTTCAGCAACTTCAACTATATTTGTAAAAATATAAGTGTGTCGAATCGGTACCAAACTATAGGGACAAAGATACTCAAAAAGATGATTGTCTTTATGGTGAAAGTGGTTCGACTATCTGAATGAACTTTGAATGTCATTGGGAAATATCCAATCATGGAACATTTTACTTCGTCGAGAAAGCTAATGAAGTGACCTTGTTAGGTGAAAGAATCAAGGACTCTTAATAGGCAAAGACTTAGGATAGATAATCAGTTTAACTTAGGAAAAGCTGCTGTTTAACCACACTGTCAAGACTCCTAAAATAAAACTAATTTTGCAACCCTGGTGTCGTTTAGCAAAAATGTCACCTTCACTGGTTGCCTCTGGAAATGCTGTCTAACTAGATTGTCATTGTTCGTCATCTGTCAACCCAAATATGTTTAACCAAACGGTATTTGTGCTGACTTTCAGTAAAGCAATTAGTGGTTTTTTTTCTCAAAAGTGAGAGGGTTAGCGTAGAGCGTTGATTTGTGTGTAGAGTTGAAGGTCATCTCTACGTCGTACTGACTCCAAAAAATTAACAAGAATATCATTGCGTCCATCTTCTTGTTGAACAACAGTTTTCGTTTTCATCCTCATCTCCAAGCTCATAAAATATTTCTACAAGAGAATTACTATGATAATCCAATAGTAATATCTAGGAAAAATATTAAAATCATATTAACTTGTGAATTCATTCAACAGTCTCGATTGAATGGGGTCAATGGTGTGATATTGGGTCCAAACAAAGTGATATTGACCAGCTAAATAGAGAGAGGAGAAATGCAAAAACTAATTGAAGACAGGACTTGCTTACCTTGACGGTGTATTCGTAAATTGTTCCGTCTGGGTACTCATCGGGTTGGCTTGGCATTTTACAATCCGGTCCCAACTCTGAAGTACCACAGGTACCTGTGCTAGCTACAAAAGCAGCAAAATTAAGGGAGAACAAAAATTGCAAAATCCAGCAAGCAATTTTGGGTTTATTTTGTACAAAACTAAATTAGGGTTAAAGAAGAAAAGAACAGAATAAGCTGAATTTATCTTGCCTTGAGGCATTGTTGTAAAGCAGCCAGAAACCTTGTTTCCCATAGAGGATGTAGCCAATGAGAAATAACGCTCAACAGAAGAGGCTGTTGGAAATCAACTCCGCCACAGAATCAGCTACAATCCGGCCTACAACTCGAATTTAACTGATGCTTTCTACGAAATCAGCTCTTTAGTGCTTGAAATTATGATGTAGGTGAAATTCAGGGTGGGGTGGTGGTTCCCTTTTCCTGACGGTGGAGGTGAATAACGATGGCTGTTCCGCCTTTCTTTTTCTTTACAACGGTGGACGTGGTTTAGTTTTGCATGCTGCTTTAGGGTTTTTTCCTCTCTTAATTGTAATTAATTTATTCGATATATTAAATTTGTTCATAGTATTTAAAAAGGTTTTATCACAAATAGTCCTTCATGTTTTGCCATCTCATCAGTTTGGTCATTTATATTTCAAACTCATCAATTTAGTCCTCATCTATTATTTTGGTTGTCAATGTTGTCTCTCCATCCTTGTCAATAAAAAAATTATGGGAAATTTTATTTAAACCCATGCAATCACTTTCTACACCCAGCTTAAATTTTAAATATAAATTATCCTTTTTTCCCTATTGCATAATTACTATCAAGTACAAAACGAAATTAATAATAAAATTAAAATTTATCAATAAACCCACACACTATAATTAAATCTAATCATCACTCATTGTTTATCCTGTGTTCATTCTGGCTAAAACCCTAATAGCTTTTATGGAGAAAAACAAGTTTTTATTTTATTTTTTTATATTTTAATTTAATTTAATTTATTATTTTTTTAATTTTTTTTATCGATGAATGGTAATTTTAAAGTTTTGAATTCTCAAACTAAAGTATAACTCGATTTATGAAAATTTGTGTTCGTCTGATTTCAATTTTTCTTAGACTATAGAAAGATAAGTATTTGCGTTTCAATTTTTTTTTTTGTCAACGTTCTACAACAGTCGTAATGAAAGTATTGATATGTAAGACCCTTTCTATGGAAAGTAGAAGTATTAGTAATTTGTTTGGCTTTGGCATATCAGAGAGCAAAAGTTGTTTTCGTGCTAGCCTATCCTCCTATACGAAACCCTTCACTTCAACTTCATATTATAAATTTGTTGCAGTTTTGATTGACATTTGTTTTCCTTTTGAGAAATTGCTTGGGTTAGTACATGTTAGTGAGTGCAGGT